ATTAAAGTAAAATCTTATAATATTGAACTTAATGTTTATTCATATATTTATAATATTAAAACGAATTCAGAAAAATTATACCACGTAAGACACTTACATAATTGTACGAAGTAACGTAGCAAACCAATTAAAAAGTTTAAAAAAAATCAATTAAAATAAAAATCGTCAGAAATAATGTTAAAAAGTCCACGAATTAAATATTTTAGATAAAATAGAAAAAAGTGTAGATCAAGGCAATACCTATAATTAACAGCTTAACCGATACTGATATGTAAAAATATAATATTGCTCTATATTTCAAGTCATACGATAATACACTGCTCTCTAGTTGACACAAAACAATACAGTACTGTCAACACTATATTGATAAGCAATAAAAATTTGCATTAAAAAAATATTGTAATTTCAAATAAACGCACCAACTCGGCCACAGTAATTTGCGAATTGGTGAATGTTCCGAGACGAGTCCAGATATTTTCTATACATTTTCTGAAAGCTTATAAAAAACTCTATAAGTGGTGTGAAAATCTAACGGGTGAAACGTGCAGGAGTAACTGAATATTGCAAATCAAGACCGCAGAAATGACTTTCGGTAGCGTATAATCGCAACAACTCGGCCACAGTAATTGGCGAATTGGTGAATGTTCCGAGACGAGTCCAGATATTTTCTATACATTTTCTGAAAGCTTATAAAAAACTCTATAATATAATATCAAATGCTAAGTTGTTAAATGCAGTGGTCGTTCACAATTATCCGAGTTGGTACGGCGGTGTATACGATAGTAAATGTATTTATACTCCCACCGGCCGACAGATCTTTGTTGTGTGTATGATTGGTAAATGCGTTTAATATATGCTTTTTGGTATTATGTGTCTACATCTATCAGTTAGAAAAAGCGTTATACTCTATAAAATATTGGTAACCGAAGGGTAACCAATATTTGTTTGTGATAAGAAGTTGGTGGACCACGAATTGGTAGCTTCACACTCGNTAATCACGATTATAAAAAAGGATATTGTTACATTGGAAATTTCCGCAACTAATGATGTTGTCTATTTCACTGTAAAAAACTAAAACAGGATAACCTCTTTTGAGGTTATGTATTATCCTAAATTTTTCTAATACATTAATTCTAAACATATCAGGGTATTTGCATATATTCCGATAATTTCGAGATTCGCTTTCGACTAAAAGTTCAATAGTAGGTTCTGGTAGAAAATCGAATGGTACAAAAGGATTTTGTGGCATGATAACTAAAATAAAAAATAATAACTTTATTTAGAAATAAAAATATCTAGACTTATTTACCGTTATTAAATAATTATGATAAAACGAATTTTTATTTATAGAAAAATAACTTTTTACGCCAAATAAATTATTGGTAAAAAAATTAAATTTTACTCTTGGTTAATAATCAACTTATAATATTAAAATAACAATTTAAAGAACTTACATTATTTATATATTCCTCGAAATGCAATTGATGCAACAAGTATTTGTTACAGTATAAGTTTTCCGTTCGTCGAAATGCAATTGAAACAGCAAGTAATCGCTAGTGGATATAAAATCTGAAATAATTAGCATTTTATTATAATATTCTTTGTAAATTAAGACAATAAAATGTTATAATATAAATTTATATAATATGAATTCCAATAAATATGCAAAGATAAAAAACATTTGAGTTCAATTAATTTGATAATATGAAATTTTATTTTTTAAAATCTATTGACATTAAAAATAGTATATATAATTACAATAATTAATTTTATACTTACAGTTTAATTTTTTATCAAACGAAAAATGTAACTACAACAAATTTCTTTGCAAAAAATCTGATTGTTAAAACAAACTACTGCGCTCTTATAATTCTTTCGAATGAATAAACAGATCCAAGACTTTATATACTTGCATTGATTAAAAAAATGCAATGAAATTTAATTTATGATATGTTCTTCTGTGTTAATGATGAAAATGACAGTTGATCGTCTAATTACTTTTGAAATAGATAATATATTACATTTATGTCTCGTTTTCGCGCATGTTAAGTTCCATGGAATTTGTATTTAAACATATGCAGTGTTGTGATAATTAAATAAATTTAACACATTAAATTATATACAATATGCTGTATTGTTATTAGTAAACTCGATATTGTTTATTATATCATAATTTAAATTATAGTAATTAACAGTGGATAGTAAACATATAGGGATAATGATATATGGAGAGAGGAGGGTTAATACACTCTCAGCACATCATCCTCATCTATCCTTGTTTGTGTAAAAAGTACTTGAAAAATGTAACATTTCACACTAAGTGTAAAATGTAAAATTGGATCAGTATCGACCTTAATCGTATAATTTTGGATTGTGTTAAACGATTATTTATATATAATATTTATTATATATAAATTCAGTTCATTATTAACCGTCGACTTTCCAATTCAACCGACTTATCATGCAATATTTCATATTAATTAAATTAAATTTAACTATAAATTTATTATTTATTTTTTAATTAGTACAGTTTTATTTTTTTAATAAAATGTATTTATTTAAGAATGTTTTTTGCTAAACATCTCATAATAAGAAAACTGGAACAGTCATTATTATTATATATATATTGTTGACAAAAAAATACTGATTTATTGTTCACTAAACGAATAATGGTCAAACGCAGTTCATTAACTCATATATTAACGTTTAACATTCGATAAAAACGACAGCGTCGTCGTCATCATGCATAAGCCATCTGTTGTATTCATCTCAAATACGATAGTATAAAAATATATATAGTCATCTATAAAGCCATCTGGTACCATGTCTGTTTTGAACAAATGATTGTTTTTTTACAAATTAGGTAAAATAAACATTCTTACGTAGTTTTTATCTAAATATGTGCATGTCGTATATCAAAATAGCGGATTCGACATTTAAAATTCGCACTTTTCACCGTTACAGTGTAGCGTACCTGGAAAATGCATTTTTTTTTTTTCATAAAAAAAACTTACATTTCATATATTCTATATGACCATCCACCGCATCATAATGCAAAGTTTGGATTCCAAACAAATAAATAAATAATAAATATATTCAGTTTTTATTTAACAAATTACCCAATTTCAACATTTTACGTACAATTTTTATCTAAAATGAAAATAATTGGCGATACTGTACGGTTAATTTTGATTTATCATATTCGATATATCGCGCACCTTAGGAATAAGCTTATCACTACCTCGACATGCGTACATCGTATTTTTATCGCGCTAAAGATACAAACGTTGCGATTCACACCTCCGACCGACACCGTCATCAGGGCGGTTACACGACTACGGCTTATACCCCGTCGACGACGACGTTATGTTGTTTCCGTTATCGATAAAATATATCCGCACATTAAATACATTCTATGTAGTAAATCGATAGTGATAATAAGTTCTTGATGACTGTTTACCAACTTGACTTTTGGCCAAAATGAATCGTCTGGATCCAGACCAATGTATACGCGAGACATTTGTGAAATGCTATATATTGATGAATCGATCAAGTCGTTGATTTTATTGAATTTACACCTTGGTGTAGCCATTGTGATTAAAGTCTCAAGGTCCAATAGGCGTTACTATCGCTGCGATTCGCATTCATCGTTTTTTCAATTGTTTCAATTGAATCCAAAAGTTCGTAATATATTCGCTTCACAACTGAGCATGCACATTCAGGATTGTCCGAATTTTTTCCCACATTCGATAATTCACAACCCTTGTAGTGTAAAAAGTCTCCACCGGTATCGTTGGCTTTATCTCTTAGACGTTCCGCAAAATATTGCAAATCTCGATAATTTTTCAATGATTTACTGAATGGTTTAAAAACTCTATCTGTAAGTTCGTTTTCAACAAGAAAAATCAATTTATTCGATATATTACTGAAATAATCCATCTTACACGCACAATAGATTAACAAATACTGAGAACCGATTAGTAGTCAACAGACAATGTTGCTGCTGCACGACACCAAACTTTCCAAACATCTGTTAGACATTGGAATCTCGATGGAGAATGAGGTGTATTTTATGGGTTACACGACTACGGCTTATATCCCGTCGACGACGACGACGGCGGCGGGGGTTGCGATGGCGCGTCGACGGCGTTGACACAATATAATGCGCGACCGTTTGACGTACAAGTCTGGGGGGAGGGTGTAGGCAGGGACAGAGTCTTTAACATTATTGTATGTGACGTGTTGACCTTAAGGGCGATTATATTACGTAACACCTGTGATGCTCCTGATTGAGGGGCACGCGTTGCTGCATACGTCACACCGACAACGACGTAACGCCGAGTCAGCTGACCACCTACCCTCCGCCAACCCACATTATTATCGCAATTTTAACAATAACACACTTGATTTACAACTTTAACAATTACGATTGACCTTAATTAACCATTTAATTACCCATTAACACTCTTAATTTATTACTTTTTGATGACGTATGACACTAATTACCATGGCGGCATCCTTTGATCCCCAGAACCCGCTATTTAGATACNAAAAAAAAAAAAAAAAAACGAGGTCATTGTTTACACACTCCAAGGATACTCGCCTATATATTACTATGGTTCGAAAGATTTACACCCTGTATAGAATATGGATTTAGTTTTTATTTGTCGAACGTACCATTATATGAATGTCCGTATTGGTTGGGTTCCTNACAATATAATGCGCGACCGTTTGACGTACAAGTCTGGGGGGAGGGTGTAGGCAGGGAC